CCGCCGCTTTGCTCCCACAAGCTCGACGTCGCGCCGCTGTTTCCCACAGGCGAGACGCTGCGCGGCGGCCGCTTTTGCTTTCGATTTGATTCTGGCGCACCTACTGGCTCGACTTTGGCGCCACGATCTTCTTTGCTTCTTTGCCGTTGACTTCACCATGTTGGCTGACGACCGCCATCGAGACTCGATCGCAGAGCGGAATAGTGAAGCCTAAGCGCCTATATGATGGCATTATCGGTATGGTTTCTTGCAGTAGCAGGGGAACCCAACACGATTCAAGATGCGTTGGGTGATCCGAAGTGGAAGCAAGCTATGGAAACCGAGTTTGATGCACTAAAGAAAAATAAAACATGGCGACTAGTGCCACCTAAGTCAAGGCGAGAATATAATCGATTGTAAATGGGTATACAAAATTAAGAAGAAAGTCGATGGGAGCATTGACGGGTATAAAGCTCGATTAGTTGCCAAAGAGTTTAAGCAACGATATGGCATTGATTACGAAGATACCTTCATACTCGTGGTGAAGATAGCCTTTGTCGCGTTTGGTACTTTCTGTTGCAATTTCCAGGGTTGGTGCTTAAAGCAACTAGATGTACTGAATGCGTTTCTTCATGGCGTTACGAAGAGAAAGTTTATATGAAACAACCACCAGGATTTGAAAGTTCAGATGCTCCTAATTATGTGTGCAAACTAGATAAGGCTATTTATGGATTGAAACAGGCCCTCGTCGTGGTACTCCAGAGTTAAGTACCAAGTTAATTTCCTTGGGTTTCGTCTTCTCAAAATCAGATACCTCCTTATTTATTTATAATAAAGGTGGTATAACAATCTATATGCTTATTTATGTGGATGACATCATTGTTACAAGCAATGCGCTGAGGCGATCCAAATACCGCTATGAGACCTTCGTGAAGACTTTGCTCTTAAGGATCTTGGTAAGCTTCATTATTTTCTCGGCATTGAAGTTAAAGAAGACAAGGAAGGAATAATTCTTTCTCAAGCAAAATATGCCCAAGATCTCTTAACACGGGTAGGTATGCTTGACTGTAAGCCATGCACGACTCGTTATCCGCTATTGAGAAGCTGTCCATTATGAAGGTACACCGCTAAGTCAGAAGATAGTACACGTTATAGAAGTGTTGTGGGCGGTCTACAGTATCTTACTATTACTCGGCCTGATGTGTCCTTTTGCTGTTAACCCGAGTGTGTCAATTTCTTCATAGTCCGACAACAATACACTGGACTGCTGTAAAGAGGATACTACGGTATATCAAGTACACTATTAGTTTGGGGTTGCGCATTCGAAAGCAGTTTATTTTTCACTGAGTGCCTTTTCAGATGCAGACTGGGCTGGTGATGTTGATGACAGGCGCCCACAGGAGGATTTGCTATATTTTTGGTGCTAACCTGATATCATGGAGCGCAAGGAAACAGCCCACCGTCTCTCGTTCTAGTCTTCAAGCGTAATACAAGGCTATGGCAAATGCAACGGCAGAATTGATATGGCTCGAACAGTTGCTGGCCGAGCTTGGTATAAAATTAAGGCGTGCTCCAATTCTGTGGTGTGACAACTTAGGTGCAACTTATTTGTCAGCAAATCCAGTGTTTCATGCAAGAGCTAAACATATAGAGATTGACTTTCATTTTGTCCGAGAAAGAGTTCTTAAGAGACAACTCCAAGTACGGCTTATTTCTACCAAGGACCAGTTGGCTGATGGACTTACTAAGGCGTTGCCAGTTGCTAAACTAAATGATTTTGTGCACAATCTAAATCTTGCAAGTGGCTGAAAGCTTTGATTGAGAGGGGGTGTTAGAGATATTCTTGGAGTTGTACATAGCTGGTTCGGTTAGGACTCCCATAGATAGGATAGTTTAAACATAGGACAGTTGTAATCTATTTACACGGGAGTCTTAACTTAAACCAACTATATCTGTAACATGTTCTATATAAACATGGAGCCTACGGTGAGCCAAGATAGACAACCATAGTTACCACATATTCTTTCAGTCCCAACTTTGCAAGAAGCAGGAGAGGTTCCTTCTTCTGCCTCACACCCTGGGAAGGAAGGGGGGCAAGCGCGTTGTATCCAAAACAGGGAAGAAGAAAAGGTCTTCATCTATGGTATGGGTACCTGTACGGATGTACCTGGTACAAAGTGTTAGGCGATTGGGGGATGTACCTGGAAGAAAGTGTTAGGAGATTGGGTTTGCGTGCTTGCCACAACAATAGCCAATCAGTAGAAGAACAGTAAAAAGGTTCATTTGATGAGGAGGAAACAAGCTCAGTGCTAAAGCTTGAGATGAAGCCCAAACCTGTTGGAGTTGTTCCAAATTCACTCCAGGATTTAGGCCAATGAACTGAACCCTAAATGGACCATTGCATATAGTTATGCTGCAGAACATTGATCATGAGTATTTAAAAACTTTAAATAGATCATGAGTTGACAGGATTCATCCAAACAACAACTCAACAAGCCAAGTGATACTGGCTAGTACACTCAACACATACACAAGCAGTAGCAGTAGATAACCGCAACAACAGCGTGGCCAAACTTTACCTGACCACTGCATATGATTGTGTTTCCATGACGTTAATCTAGGCTTGCTAGGGGCACACTGATGGAATCCCGAGGCGTGCCAATGCGCCATGGCCATGATGTGTCAGTGTTTGTCTGTCCAACGCAACGCAACGCATGCGCCAGTGACCTGACCACTCTGTGTGATCAGGATTGGAGCAACACATGGCACAGTCATGAGGGGAGACAGGTACCAGGCGTCAGCAATTTTATTAGATTAGACGACGCAGGATTAGCCTTGGAGCAGACAGGGGTGACACTTGATTAGGGGTAAGAAGGATGCCCATGACAGGCGCGAAAAGGGAGCATTTAACTAAAGGCCAAAGTGATGAGGCAAGAACTGTATAGGCCTGGCCTGTAACTGCAAGCCTCTTTCTTTCTTCAAGCTAGGAGTACTCCTAGTACCCACCCAGCCGGGGAGTGAGGAGGCGAGGAGCTCAGTGTTTGATGCTGGCTGCTGCTCCTGCAGTGTTTGCTTGTGGGAGGAGGAGACCGGGACTGGCAGGACAGAGCTGCAGCTCTCGCAGCCTTGCAGCTGCAGGGCTGCTGCTGCTGGAGTGGCAGACTGGCAGGGCAGCAGGTCAGCAGCGTGGAGACTGGAGCTTCTTCAGTTCACCAAAGACCATCACATCGCATCGCAGAACGCAGATCGCACCCCACCACCACCAGTTCAGAGGGCAACACCACATCCACTTCCACTGTTGTACATACTCGGACCACACCACACCACACCAGCACAGCACAGAAGGAAATGGGAGCGTTGCCGGTCACTGTAGTGGCCGGGATCAGTCCACAGCCTGGCTCTCTTCAGTTTCAAATGGGCACGGCAGCAGAGCAGATTGAGGCAGAGGATCATGTGGTTACACTACACTACAATACACTACAAGCTGTCACACATACTACGCGGGACCGACCGTATCGTTTGACCATGAACTCATGCAGTCATGCTTGACGCCATGAGGTTTCAGTACCTGCTCAGTGAGGCCAACGCAAAACTCTTGACTGCTGGTAATCAATGGTCAATGATAAAAGTCTAAGACCCAGGCCGGCAGGCATGTCTAAAGTCTGAACAAAAAGGAGACTCTATTCTGTTGGAGTTGTTCCAAATTCACTCCAGGATATAGGTCGGGCTTCTGACGGAGCGGAGCGGAGGCCCGTCGCCGGAGGCTTGGGCCGGAGCGTAGCGGTATATACACCCTTGCTAGGGTTTCGTGGAAACTTGATTCTCTTGTAAACCGCCATAGGCGTGTAACCCAAAACTCTTGAGATAGTGAGATTGTTGCTGGCTGGTGCCCGTGGTTTTTTCCCCTTCACATTGGAGGGGTTTTCCACGTTAAATCGTGTGTCTCCTCTGTGGCTTGATTCTTTACTTCATATTCCTATACGTAACCATCTTCGTCTGAAGATCACTGCAAGATTGCACAGGATGAAGATGAAGGTGGACATTCTAACAAGTCAGGTTCTTCTGTGGATCTCAGAGGAATTGCTCACGATGAAGATAAACGCCCCGGTCCCGGAGGACGGCTAACAGCCACTCTACATGTTGAATGGGCCACACATGCAAATAACTCTCTTACGTTTTTATCATCGCTTCACGCAAAAAGGGTGATCACCGGAGTTATTCACCTCTCAGACCTAGGCTTTTGACTTAGCTCAGCTCTTCTTCAACTTATGATGTGTACTAAAGTTCGGTCGCTACAGGGCCACGCAAACTCGGCCTAGCCCACAGCCTGCCGGTGCTACATTATTGGGCCTCATTCCATTCTGACAAGGTTGGGGTTCATGCGATTAAAGATCATGAACAAGAACGAGGAAGAGCAGGAGAGCATGTACAAGCCCTCTTGGACCTAGACAATGACACCATCCGAGAGAGTATCGTATATTGCTTAAGGCATTTAAAATACGTCGGTCCTAAGAATCCTTATTCTTGTGCTGTAGAAGAGCCACAGCATGTGCTGTTCGAGCGGCTGGCTTTGTACCGCATTAGGGGTTACGATGTACAGTATCTCTTATCATCATCATCACATCATGTGCTGTTGGAGCAGCTGATCTGCTTCTGTGATTAGTTACTTTGTGATTTTCTGTTGTAGTTATTAATGGACAGGAACTTGGATAGACTCTGGACGATGAGAAAATTGTATATTTGGGACTTCAATCGTCGCACTTCGCAGTTTCGTGACTCTAAACATTGACCTCGTAAAAATAGGTCTCTAAACATTGGACTCTTGATTTTTATGACATTATGTATATTTTCTCTCTTTTATATTTGACATCTCAATGAACCTTTCTGCCCTCGGGTGTTTCTCCATCATACGTATATGTTGAGACCGACGCGCCGTAACCGATGGAAACATCCATCTATTCGTACTGCCGCCGGCCGCCGCCGCCCTCCCCACGCCGCGATCCCGTCTTCCCGCGGCAGCCATGGAGGGCCAGCCTCCCGACGCCACGCCCGGCCCTTCGCTTGCCCTGGCCGCTGGCGCCCATGGCCAGGCAACGGCCGCAGAGCGCCAGGCCACGCGATCCCAAGGAGGTGTGGACGTCGCGGCGGTGATCCCCGTGGAGAAGGGCACGGTGGCCGGAGGAGGCGGTGGGCATCACCAGCATGGCGGCCACAAGCACGACGGGCAGACGAAGCAGCAGCAGCAGAGGGTGCTGGAGAGCAGCAACAGTAGCAACCGCTGCTTCAGCGACGAGCTGGTTCTGGGTGAGGAGAACAACTTCCTGGGCACCGAGCTCCTCAAGCGCACCTACAAAGGTAAACCCCGATCAGTGCTGGAGGGCGGCGAGCAGCGGCACTTCTTCGGCCTGCGGACGGCGGAGCAGCGGGTGATCAAGTTCGAGTGTGGCAGCCAGAGGTAGTACAAGATGTGGACCAAAGGCGTTGCGCGCCTCCTCGCCATCGTCGACGGACGGAAGCGTTGAGCCTAACAGCCGCCGTCGGTGCCGGTGTGATGGCAGTGATTCATCGCAGCCCAGCCAGGAATCATGTAGATGTAGCTAGGCAGGGGTCTCATGCAATGTTTTCAGATCGTATTATCGAGTCTAGTCGTATGACCACCGATAAGTCGATAAGGGACGATTAGTCGTCGATAAGGGGCAATTAGTCGGTCCTAATCGGTCTAATCGGCTAGTCGGACATTTAGTCGTCCTTGTGCCTAGATGGCATGATCGACCATGTATATACTATATATATGATGTAAATATATGTAAACATGGCAGAGGAGGTAGAGTGGTGGCTCATCTTGATGCTGCGGACGCCGGCGAGAGGCGCGGACGGAGCTGCAGACTAGAAGGTCGGAGAAGGAGGAGGTGGCGAGCTGGTTCAGGCCGTGGAGTGCCCTCTGCTCTACCGCCCATCGTGCCTCGCGCTCGCCCTTGCCATGATCCTTGTTCGTGAACGCCGTCCATGCGAGACAGGGGAGGAGACATGCGAGGTGGCGCTGGGTCGTGCTCAGAGCTTGCTCTCGAGATCGTCCGCACTCGGCGCTTGACCGACGGAGCTGCGCGCCATTGCAGACGGAGGCTGCGCCACATGGCGACGGAGCTGAGCTGTTGCATGGATGAGCGGAGCTGCCGACGGAGGAGCGCTACGCGCCATGACGGAGCTGAGCTGAGAGAGAGAGAGCAGAGCGAGAGAGAAATGTGCCGTGTGCGGCGGCTGCAGCCAAGCTCCTTCACTCGTCAGTCGTCACTCAGACACTCACTCTTATCTTACCCTAATGGGCCAGCTATTAGGTGGGCCGAATTCTTTAGCTGGGCCGAATTCTTTAGCTGAATATACTGGCCCAACTAGTCGTTATGTGTGTCGGATCGGACGACTAATCGTGATTAGTCGCAACTTATCGGACGATAAGGTTTCTAATCGGCCCAAACTAATCGAGGACCCTTATCGAGCGCCTTTTTATGATAAGGACGACTAATCACGATTAATCGTGATTAGTCGTCCGATCTGTAATCATTGGTCTCATGTCGCGGCTGCTGTTAGAGAAATGAAATCCCAAGTGATTTGCTCTGACGCTGATGTTACCTGTTCATCTCACTTGTTGGAGAAAATTGCCCACCGAGATGTCAAATACATGTATACATATTACAAAAGGGAGAAAATACACATAATGTCATGTAAATCAAGAGTCCAACGTTTGGAGGTCTATTTTTACGAAGTCGATGTTTGGAATCCTAAAACAACGAAGCGCGACGATTAGAGTCTCAAATATGCAATTTTCTCCTGGACAATGCATCTGTGGCAAAGTGCTGCCCTCCGGACATTCTTTCTGAAGAGGGTTACTTTGAGCACTATGAGGAGTCTCTTAAATGGTACTTCGATCCTGAGCTCAATGAGTACGCTGGCTTTGAGGACTACCAGCGCCTAGTGGTTCGAAATGATGTAAGTGTCAACACTTGACTTCTCCATGCCAACTGCTCATTTTTGTTCCTACTTTGTACAATCAATCATGTTGCCATGCCCATGCTACTGCGTTCTTTAGTTCACTTCTACAGGTTGGGAATGCACTGGGCTATATCCTACTTTTGTTCCACTTTATGCTAGCTTTTGTTTTTACATATTCTACCTTTTTTTACATCCTGTATTAGCTTTATCACCCCCTCCCTTTTTTTGAAAAGTGCAAAACTCAGGTTTATTATCTGTTACAATTTGTGTTTGACCTGATCTGGACCTGGTTTATGTTATCAATTTGGGAACTTCCTTGCAAGATATCTTGCAAATACAATGAGGCTTCCATTCATTTATTCCTTGGAGAAAGCAAAACAATATTTTCTTTTCTTCCTTACAAGGATTAGTTTTGTTTAATCCATTTTTTCCGGATGGCTGTGCTCGGAGGACACAATGATTTATTCTGGTTCGGGCGGAACATCCCTACGTCCAATCTGCTGCTGCTTTTGTTACCGGCACTTAGTTTGTAGTAGGGGTTATAAACAGGCGAGAGAGGGAGAAGGTTTCAAGTCTCTGGTAAGAAGAGTGAGTCTGATTGAGCTCTCTGTCTACTGTCAAGCGCCTAAGACTTCAGCCGCTCAGACGTGTTAGATCTATGGGAATGCCCTCCTTCTTCCACCGTGGGGCGCCCTGCTTCTCCTTTTATAGATGAAGGGGAAGATGCAGGTTATATCAGAGAGAGAGAGAGGGGGACGAGGAGAGGAAGGCTTCTGGGATTGCGACGTCTTCCATCACCTTTACGTGGGTCCCGCCGGCCCTGTAGATGACGATGGGGATGGCTCCACGTCGCGGCCCTGTTCGTCACTGGCGCCGTACGCGGGCGTCATCAGCTGGTCATGGAACTCCATTCTGTCCCAGCGGACGGTATGGCTAGCTGAAGCCTCTGCTGGAGGCCGTACGGAAAGTAGGTAGCACAGCGCCGGCACGCCCGATGTTGTTGGTGACGTGCGTCCTCAGACATGGCCCATTGTGGCCGCGAGTCACGTTAAGACGCGCCTGCTCCCCTTATGGCGTCAGAAGTTTGACCTTGGACTCGTACTTTTAGACCCGTAGTGGTTGGGGGCGGTACGGACCTCCGTCGGGCGAGGCGGAGCCCGTGCCATCGGGGTCGGGCGAGGCGGACCCCTCTCCTGAGGGGTCGAGCGAGGTGAAGCCCGCACCCTTGGGGCCGGGTGAGGCGGAGCCCGCGCTCTCGGGATCAGGTGAGGCGGAGTCCGCGCCCTCGGGGTCGGACATGACGGGGCTCTCGCTCGAGGGGTCGGGCGAGATGGAGCCCGTGCTCTTGGGGTCGGGTGACCCGTATCCCGTGTCCTTGAGGTCGGGCGAGACGGAGCCCGTGCCCTCGGGGCCGGGCGAGACTAAGATACGCTTTTGACCATCCGAGTGAGTTAGCGTTCGCGGCCATTAGCTTCCTTCTTCTGGGTATCCCTCATACTGCACAATGTGTTAGCTACTCAATAGTTTGAGAAGAGGATCAAGGAAGGGAAGCACAATAGAGGTAGGGATTGGACGATATCCGATTACTTGGGGGGAAGAGTTTGGTCTCAGTTCATACAATACGATCGATGCCCTCTCCTTACAGAGCTCTAGCTCTTATACCACATGCAGGAGCCTATACTCAGTGCAAGGAAGCAGCGTCAATCACTTGGCCCATTCAGGTCTGAACGTTCACGAGTTGGGCTTCTAGTTCCTAGGCTTCCTCGGCCTATCATCCTTCAAGGACTTCCCATCTGCTTCCCATGTCTTGCTCCTGGACTTGGTCACTGAAAGGTTTCCACCTCCTCCACGCCATTAGAGGTCATGTCCCCCTCCCCCTTCTCTGATGACTTGATGAAGCCGTCATGGTCTTGGTTCTTCATTTCACGCCTCAGCGCTGAGCTCGTGGGAGCGCTCCAAGTCGTGGCCCGCCCCGCCGCCGAGTGTAACACCATCAGTGTTAAGCCAATAATTACTGCATAAACATGGCATGACCATCATCTTTACCTTTGAGCGAATGAATTGGGTGTTATTTTAAGCTTGCTGGTCATATGAAATAATAGGTCAAACACATAGTAAATACATGTAATGATAGCTTGTTATTAGTCCTTAAATGACTTTGGTAATTTAGAACTCTTAAAATTAGTTTACAATATTGAGATGATGATATTTCACTTGGCTATATTTACATATCACCAAATCAATTGGCAACAGAAGATATATAATTCTATAATCTTTTTGGTTCTAACAACTATTTTTTGCTGAAAATAAATTTAAATAAAAAATATTATTTTTTAGTGGAAATAAAAACATATAAAAATATTCAGAAAATCCTATCGGTTGTGCCTGCATAAAGCCTCAACACACACAACCCAACACTTTCCACCCTTTCTACATGGCACATGGGCCATGCCTCCAAAGAGTAAGCCCAGTCCATTCCAGTTTCCAAGTAGTAGATCTGCAAATCTTTCTCCGCTTCGGTCCTCTCCAGAGTCTTCTTCCTCCTTTGCTTGCTACTGTAGCAACGAAAAAGGAGTTCCTTCGATCCGGCTCATCGTTGTTGGTTCCCTACGCCTCGGGTGGCCTTCTTGGCCCTGGAGGTGTGGGGAACCGGGGAGTTAAGGTATGCGTGTATATACTTAGCTATAGTATGCGTTTTTTAGAGCTATGTTAGTTTTCCTTCCGATCCATGTCTGTTGTGGGGTTTTCCTCGTTGAGGAAAAGCTCTTCGACATGGTTGTGGTGTGGATCTTCTCCTCCCAAGGTGGATTGGGCGATGTCGATGGTTCCGGCAATGGTGTCATCGACGAGCTTTGGTTCTGTACCTTGTTTCTGTTCTTCCCAAGAATAATGTTAGGGTTGGAATTGTTCCCGGTGGGATGCTCCTCGGGACTCTTTTGTTTCCTTTTGGACTCCTATGTCGGAGGTGGTTGGGGCCAGGTGTTTGTCGTTGTACGTGCGATGCACGATAATGGTGTTATATGCAGAGGGATTAGCACCAACGATGTTTCTTCTGCGTTGGTGTTCGAATCCTCTGTGAGCTTCACTGCGCCATCCGTGCCCATATCATCAGTGGCGGCGCCGGCACCATAGCCCTCGATGTGGTTGCTAGAGCCTGGTGGATTGTTTTGAGTGGAATTGCCTTGTGAGGTTACTTCTCCACCTTCTCATTTGCACGGCTTGGTGTTCTTCGATCCCCCTTGCGGGTCAATTGCTTGTCGGTTGGAGTTGGCTGGTGAGACGATCGGCGTCCGATCCTGGTAAAATCGAGGTTTAGCTTGTTGGCTGGAGTTGGCCGGTGAGACGACCGACGTCCGATCCTGGTAAAATCGAGGTTTAGCTTGAGCGTTCAGCGGATAAACTACATGCTTTCGGTGTGCTACTGATGGCCTTTTTTAAAAGTTGACTCTTCATCGATTCGGGATCCGGCCAT